CGAGGTTCATTCCAACGAGCTGTCGCTCAAAACGGGCCACGCAAATAATGAAGAAGACGTAGTTGATGGACGGAAAGGGCAGGCTCAGAACGTATACAGCAGCCGTGCTGAAAGGTCCAGCGACTTGGGCGATGATGGCCAGGAGGATCGGGACGATGACGATGGTGATACCAGATAGTTGGGCTTTGCGGAAGAAAGCTGCGCCGAAGATGGAGAAGCTGGTCAAGGACAGGCCAGCAAGGATGTGGAAGATGATCAATATGGCAGGGTTGGAGGTTTGGAAAGCCAGAGCCCAAAGGATGGCGCCCATAATGACCCAGCCCGGGAAGTAGATGATGTCGAACGCAATATGCATGGACAGAAGACGGGCAAACTGCGTGTGCCATGGCTTTTTGGCGGGCGACATGGCTTCGACTAGCTGGGATATGCCGCGTTCTCTCTCCTCGGCCATTTGCCCCGTGAGCTGATAGGTGACGCCGCACACGCCAATGTACAGAGCCACGCCCATGATGTTGATGAGTGCGCCCATGTACAGGGTCCTGATGCGATCGTCGTATTCTTGCTGCGTACGCTCTGTGTACGGGTACTCGTCGGTGGCGGGGATGGCAGCAGAGCCCTCGACGGAGGCGATGGCCTGGTCGATGGCGCGCTGAAAGGGCAGAATGTAGATCTGGACATCGTTGTCGTCCTGGCCCACGTAGATTTCCTCTCCCAGCGCTCCGTCGGATCGGATGGTGTAGTTCCAGCTCTCGCCCTGGCCTTGGCTCGGACTGGAAAGGAAGGACACTGCACCATAGCATGTGCTGGCGCCCCGCAGCGAGCTCTCGCACGTCGAAAGCAGTTGAACATCCTGCTGAATAGTCACGGCCTGCAGGCCAGCGTCGCGGACCTGGGTGGATAGCTGTGCAATGACGTCTTGAATGTCGCCACCAGTGTGTCCGTTGTTGACGAAGACGACCTTGTCACGGCCGCCTTGGGCAGCACTGAGGGCGTCGGGAAAGGAGCGGATGAGAGACGGCTCACCGATGCCGTACTCTGACGGCGGGACAAAGAAGTTTTTCGCATAAGATATGAAGAACATCTGCGGCAGAGCCCTGGTTAGCCATTGTTGTGCGGGGGGCGACGAGGCGTCGACATACAAAGATAATGGGAGCCCAGAATGCGCGGACACTTGTGAAGAACCAGTGGCGCACAAAGACGACGAGGAGCGTCTTCTTGGTGAGGATCCATGTCTGGCTCACGATTGCGCCCGCCATGGTGGCTTTGTAGTCTTGGAGCGTCGTCTCGAGATGGGGTCGCAGTCGCTACAAGGCCGCGCGTGGAAGCATCCTGCTTCTCTTGGGAGAGTGGAAGGGCGCAGAGAGCGTCTTGAAGCATGGATGGCGAAGAGACGACGCCAATGCCGCGCCCCGTACCCAGCGTATACGGAACGACGCCGAGCAGACGACGTCTTGTCCGACGTCTTGGACCCGCGCCAGCCCTCCAGGGCCGTCGCCATGATCCACATGGGGCGCCAAGCTTGGAAAGTGCCAACACGCTGCGTGCCTGCCCAGCGGCCCGGCTTACCTCAGCCTGCTCCCGTAGCTGGGTCCATGTCTGTGTCGCGACGCCTGTCTACCACAGTCGGCATGCCTGAGCACGCTGTTCGAACGCGGCTCGGCGACTGCATCCGCCCAGACAGCGCCCAGTCATGACAAGCCTCGCGTGCACATCCTGGCATCCTGGCATCGCTGCGCCTCCTGTCCTGTTTGCCGTCGCGTCATCGATTGTGTGCGACGCGGTAGGGCCATCGTGCCATGACCTGCCCCAGACGGGCCGACGTGTGCCGACAACGTCGTTTACAGTACACCGTCGCCGCAACCTCACCTCATGCTAGGAGAACAAGTCTGGGTCCGTCGAATATTCACTCACGCCCTTTGCGTCTTGATATGCTTGTCCGCTCGGCTTCGTGTGCCCCAGTCACGCACGCAGCTCTTCTCCAGGTTCCCGAGGTCTGGTAGGGACCTATCGCTCATCTGGGATAGTCACGTGATGGGGTGGTATCGGCCACCCTGGACGAAGCTATGACGGGGGGTTCGTGGCTGCCGAGGCCGTGGCACGCGTCGGCGCAGCCTCCTCCCACAGCAGCGGCATCTCTCCTGCGCAACGACGACGACGCCGACGCCGACTACCAGCTCGCCATGGACTTTGACGAGGCGCTGCCCTCTTCGCCGCCGTGCGCGGGCACCGACGACCTCGCGCCCAGCCCCTTCTTTGAGCGGCACCCCACGGCCTTCACCACCAAGTCGAGCTCCCCTCCGCCCGTCTTCTCCAGCGACGACTCGTGCGAGTCGGTCGACGTGGCCAACTACGAGTCCCCGCGCATACACAAGAACAAGCGCAAGGGCGCGTGGTGGGACACGCACGCGTCTGCCCACGCCAGCCCCCAAGTCAAGAAGACCAAGTTCGCGCGCAACTTGGACTCGGGCATCTACATGCTCAGCGACGCGACCAGCAGCTGCGATGACCTGCCCCTGCCCCCGTACATGCCGCCAGCCTCTCTCCGCGCCGCCGTCTCGCTCCCCCGCTCGCTCCACGCGCGAGCTGCCGACGATGAGGCCATGGACGTCGACGTCGACGTGGCGAGACACGCCGCTCCAGCGGCCGTCTTCAACCGGCACATCGACGACGGCCTTGCCGCGGACCGCGAGTCGTACGACCTCGTTGGCCTCGACCTCGCCGACCGCGACATCACACGCATTGGCGAGCTCAATTCCGTCATCAGCCACCCTCCCGTCTACGACAACGAGCTCCCCACGGCGGGCCAGTACCGCTCTCTGCTCCCCAGGCTCCACGTCAACCTCGGCAAGAACAAGCTCCGTCGCCTCGTGCCCGCTTTGTTCCACCTCGACGATCTCACTGGCCTCTATCTGCGCCAGAACGACATCGACGAGCTTCCCCAGCAAATCAGCCGCCTGCGCAAGCTCGAGGCCCTCGACGTATCCCTCAACAAGCTTCACTACCTCCCCTTCGACATCGTCACTCTTCTTGCCCCACATGGAAACATGACCCGCCTCACTCTCATGGGTACCGATCTGCTCCAGCCAATGTCCTTCCGCCGCTTCTCCCTCACCGACTACCAGAAGCAACACCAAGGGCCCCTTCACCACCTCGATGACGTACGAGAAGACGCAAACAAGCAGCTCGCTCATCTCTATCCAACGCTGGCAACGTGCCAAGACCGCGACCAGGCTGTCTGGCGCATCCGCTATTTCGAGTCCTGGGCCAACTCTTTTGGCGGTGCAGACGACGCCCGAGAGTGCGCCGCTGAAGATGTTGGCTTCTATTCGCACCACCCGTCGTTGCGCCTAGAGGCTTTAGTAGAGGGCGATGCCGTTGCCCACGCGCCACGGTACATTGCTCGGACTCTGGTTTCTTACTATGGGCAGGATGGCAAGCTTCTCAAGGGCTCTCCAAAGCTCCCTACTTCCGACCAGGAACACTACCCCGTCATCATCGAGACGAATCAGGGTACATACGGCCTACCTTCCTCACCGTGGTTCGTCCCTCCGTGCACAAGCAAAGTTTCCTCCCTCTTCACAACGACCCTGCATATGGCACTTCACTCTTTGGAGCCCCACAAAATACGCGACTACCTCAGCCCGTGTGCTCTCCCCATGGTGGAAGCCATTCTCTCGCGAGCAGAAGCGAACGCTGCCGACGGATACGGTCTCTTCCGCGAGTGCCATGCCTGTCGCAAGCATTACGTTGTGGCACGCGCCGAGTGGGTTGAATTCTGGAGTCGGGGCTCAGGTGACTTTCTTCCACTGAGAGTTAGCGTATGCTCGTGGGGTTGTGTACCTCCAGACATGGTCAAGAGACCGCAGAAGGAATTGACATGGTGAGGCCAGGAGGTTGTCAGTTGATGCCAGACAGTAACGTGAGATGTTTATTGTAGTCACAAACCATCAAGTTGTGTCGTGAAACAAGTCATACTCTTGCAGGAATACACCAAAGACACTCGGGTTGCATCGGTCACAGAGTCTCCGACACGCCTGTCTATCCCGACACCTAGAACACCACCCGTGGACTCGAGATGTAGCTAGGTAGAAATCTTGTAGCAACTCCCATATCCATGCAGTAACACCTTCTTGGCATGGTGCTCAATAGCCATCGTACCTTGGCCCGTCTACTCCACATGCGAAAAGCCCTTGGCGGAAAGTGCGCTAATCTTGCTGGTCGCGTTTACGACAGCTGCTCTACATCACTCATATTCCGAAACTTAAGCGTGTTGCCTACGCTTGGAACATGTATGGCGGAATGATGACAACCGTAGCTGCCTCTCTCAGCTAGATGGATTGCTAGCCGAAACAGGCTTGGACGGCGCTGTTCGGACGATTGCGATAACAACACGCCGTGTTAGTGGGCATCCCTGGTGCATCACTACTTCTTGTAGGCCTATATCTCGTACTCCAATTCCTGATTCGATACCAAGATGTAAGGCTCGCCAAGCACACCTGGGCATGTTCTATGTGCGAGCGTGTTTGTCGTGCCTTCCGAGACCACCTGCACACAAGCACTTCTACGCAGCTGCGCAGTTCCATGCTGCACCCATGGATGTGCAGATGGAATCGAACATCTCTACAAGTAGCCTAGCTCGTCTATGAACACTGAAGAAGCTTATCAGCTCTTGTACTCTCTTGCCGTTGTCCTTATCGGCGCCTATCTTCAGCCCTGGTTCGTATCCTTGCCAGTCTCGACTCGTTCCACCGGACCATCGTCCGCGGCTTGACGTGAGCGTATGGAGAAAGCCATATCAGCGTTCATCTGGGGTTATCATGTCCGGCTTGGTGAATCCGCGTGGGACTACGTATCGCAGCTGGACAAGCATTCCTTGGTTACACGGCTAGCATGCTGACCGGGTTTACTTGATCCGACTGCATGCAAGACTCTTATCTACAATTCAACTCCCTTTTCTACTTCTTGACTGATTGTTTACCGTCAGAGTCCCAGAAGCAGTCATGTCCGAGAAGAAGGCAGAAGACTCGGCTATCGGAGAACAGAGCGTGGACTATGGCATTGGCCATGTTCGCAAGTCGCATACGGCGAGTCGCAGGAAAAGCTCCGCTGTCGATCCAGAGATTATTGCGGGAGAGATATTCGACGAGCGTTATGAGACTACGCAGCGTGGTCTGAAGTCACGGTCAGTAGACCCCTCTTGATATAATATATCCTCAAAGACTGACGGAACGTAGACATGCTCAAATGATTGCGTTGGGTGGCACAATAGGTACTGGGCTCTTTGTCGGCTCAGGCCAGACCCTCGCTCGTGGCGGCCCGGCCTTCATCCTGTCCACGTACATCGCCATGTCGTTCTTGATCTTTTGTACCGTTGCGGGTATCATTGAAGTCGCGGCCTATCTGCCGACCCCGGGGTCTTCCATGGTAACTTGTGGCCGTACCCAAGGCATGTGACACACGACTGACCTTGTACCTTCAGAACCTTTTCGGTTACCGTTATGTGTCGCGCTCTATGGGGTTCGGCCTGGGTTGGCTATACTTCTACTCGCTCGGTATCCTTGTGCCTTACGAAATCACGGCAGCCGGGTTGGTCATTGAGTATTGGAACCCGCCCGTGAACATCGCAGTGTGGATCACAGTCATGATCATTGTCATCGTTGGACTGAACTGCTTTCCAGTCAGGTTCTACGGCGAGACAGAGTTCTGGTTTGCCGGAACAAAGGTTATCATGATTTTAGGGCTCCTGATTCTGTCATTTGTTTTGTTTTGGGGTTAGTAACACCCCTGCACAAACTGCGTATGATACAACCACTGACTTTATACATTTATCTTAAAGGCGGCGGTCCACAGCATGACCGACTCGGCTTCCGGTACTGGAAGAACCCTGGCGCGGCGAATACGTATCTAGAAGAAGGGAATGCTGGGCGATTTGTGGCCCTCTTATCCACTATGGTACTCTCTGCTGTAAGCATGCTTCCGGCGAAGCCTTATATCTACTTGTTTGACCCTCATGTCTAGTTCCCCTTCACGTTTGCCCCCGAGCTTCTCGTTGCAACAGTGGCGAGATGCAGTCACCGCGTCGCAACTTGCCTACTGCGGCACGCAGATACATATACCGCCTACTCTTCTTCTATGTTGGCAGCGTACTGGCTATCGGAATCATTTGCCCCTCCGACGACCCCATCATTACGTCTGGTGGTTCTGGAGCTGGCTCGTCGCCCTTTGTTGCAGGAATTAAGAACGCTGGCATCCCCGTGCTGGACAGCATCATCAACGCAGGTATCATCATCAGTGCATGGTCGTCCGGAAACTCCTTCCTATTTTTGTCCTCGCGCTCGCTATACGCGCTCGCCCTGTCTGGCAACGCACCTTCCGTCTTCAAAGCATGCACCAAGTCCGGTGTACCGTATTGGGCTGTTACTGCCTCTTCGTTGTTCTGCGTTCTGGCATACCTAAACGTAGGCAGCGAGAGTGCGGTCGTCTTTAACTGGTTCGTGAATTTAACAAACACGTCTGGATTCATCTCCTGGATCTGCTGCGGCATCATCTTTCTGCGCTTCCGGAAAGCCTGCGAAACGCAAAACATCACGGATCTTCCATATCGCTCACCGGTGAACAAGTGGGGTGCTTGGTGCGTCATCATCAGCTTTACAATTCTCTGTTTGGTCAACGGGTTCGATGTCTTCTGGCCTGGGAAGTGGGACGTTAGCTCTTTCTTTACTGCGTACGTGGGTATTCCCATGTTCTTCCTGTTCTATGGGGGGCATCGCATCTGGGCCTGGAGCGATAGTTGGGCTTATGATCCAGCAGAGGTAGATCTGAAGACGGGTCTGGATCAGGTGCTTGCTGAGGAGGTGCCGGCGCGAACAATGAATATGAAAGGGCCATGGTGGAAGAAAATCACCTTGCTTTGGCAATAGAGGCGAAGGCGCTTCGAAGAGCTGTACGACAGGGGCAGGCAGCTATCGGTTCTCCCAAGTCATGTTTTTGTTCTACCATCATTCATTATGCAACATCTCGGACATTGCCCATCAAGCCTCTTCTCTTATATCCCCCTCCCGGACGGTCCCGTAACGTCCTGACTGAGAGAAGGAGACATGCCCGTGTCATTTTCCTAGCATCCTCCGATGGAATCTGATGGAAGGAAGCACACCATCGTCTTCGGGGCCCAGGCTTCGCAATGGTGGGTACTCAAGATAGCAGCACGTGAGGGTCAGAAGAAGCTGCGTAGCTCCGGACGAAATTAGCGCCAAACGCGCCGCCTGCGTCATTGACCAGCCCTGGAGGGATGTGGGGCCGGGTGGCTGGGTACCGCATCATCAACATTCAGCCGACTACGCTACTACGCTTGTCCATTGCTTCATCATCTGCAACCGACTACCGTATCTTCCCTAACTTCATCAAGTTCATTCTGGTACAATCCATCTCAGTCGTCTTCATCTTCCTTCTTCCGCTGGCGGTTCAGCTCATCGATAACCTTCTTGCCACACGCCAAAACCTCCAGTGTCCGACTCTTGTTATCGTGGTCTCTTGTTTCCGGGACCAAGAAATATGTTGTTACGGCACCTGCTAGCATGAAAGCGCTCATTACTTGCAGAATATGTCCGAAATTCTTGCGTTCCCATTCAAAATCGCTTGTGGGTTCGGATTTGTCGGATTGGAATGCATATGCCAGAAAGACTTGCACCACCCAAGACCTATGGTGCGAGTTTTCGAAGTCAGTAAATGTCTCATATGCAGTGCTTCCGCGGTTTGTCCTCACCCGAGTTTGCCACTAGCCGCAGCTATGCCGTGACAGGTGCACCGGTACCTCGTAGGGAATATCTCGGCAGGGATAACTTGATGCACGAAATTAGTAGATGTTTCACAACAGGTCGCACACGGATATCACTTACTAAAAGTCGTCACATTCGGTCCCAGGTTGAAGGCGATGTGGCTGAGCACGTAAAGCACAATGAGTCCCGAGCGACTGCTGTCGAGTAGGTTGGTCCAAGCACTTCCGGTTACGATGAAGAGAACGAATAGAACCAAGAACCCCCAGAACTGAATCACTTTTGGCGAAGCATGCTTGACAATCTTGATCATTAGCAGGCCGCCGACAACTGTCCCTATGGAAACCATCACCAGGGTGTGTTTGCTATTATCACTCAACGTCTGGTAGACGGAAGATCTGCTGTTGTTGTGTCCCTGCCAGATGTGGCTGACAATTTCTGGTGAAGAGAGGCCCAACCCATAGACTGTCTCAAAGTTAGTGGTTTTACCGCAGTGGTCTGGCAGTGTACCTACACGCGAAATCGAGAAACAGCCAGGCCAACGACGTTCCTAGAAGGTACTGCCAGTTTTTCTCCGCTATAAAGAATTGTTTTGCGTCGGCCCACGAGGCAAGTGGAGGAACAAAATCCGGGTCGCCTGGAGGAAGCCGGCCGCGAGGCGCTGCGGCGGGACGAAGATGTACGTCACTGAGGCGGTGTCCGGAGTCACTATCGCTCTCAATCTCCTCGCCGGGTGCAATCACCGAAGCGTTGGTCGATTGCCTCGATACAGGCCTCGAAACTTCCTGTGTTGCAGCCAGATCTAGCAGCTCCCTCTCGCCATGTTCGGGGTCTGTTCCGGGCGCACCAAAGTAGTTCGCCGTATCTTCGAGGGTGCTTTTTGTGTTTTGCAAGATGTCCAGCGTATACCTCGGACTCTCTGGTATCGTGAATCGAAAGAGCAGAGCGATGAGAGCCGGCACAATGCCGATCCCAACTACGAGCCTCCAAAGTCGATCGATAGCTCGGAAGCACTCCAAGTCGGCAGGCTGACAAGACTGCGTGGCCTCCTTGATCCATGGCTTGTACGACTCCACTGCAGCAAGTGATAGAACATTGGCGAGCAGCTGTCCAACAGGTTGGGCGAAGAAAACCCAGCTCAACATTCGCGCACGATGTTTGCGAGGTGCGAACTCGGCAGTAATGACCTGAACCCACGATTAGCATCAGCACGGTCACGTTGGAAACAATACCTACAGCACTCAAAGGGTAGTCCGCCCCGATACCGATCCCTAGTTATCGTCAGTCTTACGATGCATTCGTACATCAATTCGCTTCTTACCCATGATCGCTCGCCAGGTGATCAGCCATCCTCCAATTGCCATGCTGTTCTTCTCCCCGTTCGAACTCATGAGCAGCAGCATTGTGCCAACGATGACGATTACCAGCTCAAGACCATACATTTTTCGTCGGCCCAATATGTCTGCCGCGAAGCCGAATCCTATCTGGCCGACCATTGTACCCGCTAGTGTGGAACACATCATGGCTGTCTTGACAGAGGACGGCACCGAGGGTATACCGCCTTCGTTGCGATTAGGCCAGTAGACATAACCGAGCATGGGGGTAACGACATTCAAAGCAAAAAGGCCGAACGAATCTGTTAGGAAGCCGATCCCAGCTACTACTACTACCCAGACTTGGAAGGGCGCTGAATCAATCGTCGCGAGAGTCCACCGTCGACGCCTTATCTCCTGTCCATCGGATTAGCGAGAGAAGATCGATCCTAGGACTACTACGAGTGGCAGAGGGAAACCTACCGGTATACCGCTCCCGCCTGTTGTTATGTCCGGCACCCCAACTTGATGGCCTCTCATTGGACGCATGATCCATTTACGGAGGCCCATTGTAGCGATAGGGGTGACAGAACTGTAACAGTATGGTAGTTGTACCTACGTGCGAGGGTTCCGGCAATAGTCAGTATGTAACGGGGTCTGTCGTGCAGAACCGCCGTGGGGCAGCATCTTTCATATTGTGAATGCGCAAAGCTTCAGCCTCCACCATGACACGGACTACCGAAGGCAGATTTCAGACAGCGTGCATAGCCCGATACCACAAGGCAAACCGGTCAACAGAAGAGGACGCATGCGAACTGGTGCTATTCGTGCGTTCTCAATCAGCGCATCCAATCTCGTTTGGTTCGCCGAAGTCAGGCTTGGTGGCGTTCATTGCCGCGATCCAAGCGTCCAGGCCTTCATCACTGGAATCCTTTGGAGTGTGTGGTTGCTGCTGATGTCTAAATCATGGTGCATTCTCCGGCTCCTCCCGTCTGCGATGCTTCCGAGGTCGTTCAGCTGCGAACGCTGCGATGAGTGGGCAACAGCATCTTGCTTTATGAAATCCGGTTCCTTGTGAGTTCGTGCAGGCTGCATCAAAACATGTTCCGAGATTCCAAGGGAAAGCCACGCGTGGCTGAATCGAGCCCTGGAGTTGGCTGGCCCGTCTGGTAGTCGACCATGGCCGTTCGCTCCCCCACGTGTTGATCTTCGCAACCTCATTGAACGCCAAAAGCTACTATGCCGAATTAGGCGTACCATTCTAATACCGCCACATGCACAAACACGAGCTGTCCGCCACCTTTGGATAAGCTCATGGCTGCCCTGGGCTGCCCTGATTGCTGCCGACAGTAGAAGGCTTCGACGAGTTTGCGTGCCTGAGCGGTAGCAGGATGTCAGCAGCGCCGTGAGCCACCCCCCAGATGCCGGAGCGGTCTACCTTAGGCTAGCTCTATCGGACGCGTGACGAAGAGACGACCGTAAGCTCAGGTGGTTCTTACTACACCTGCTTGTCCTTTTCATGGAAGCCTGATGCTTGGACGATGATTGTCCCTACTGTGCACCAACAGTTCTATAACGTATGAGCAGTCTTTACACAAACTCTGTTGCGCTTGAGCGCGGCGCAACCCTACGAATATGTCCTTTGGGTGCAGTCCGTCCGATGTTCTGAAATTGTTGGAGATTTCGACCCGTGTATATCTTGCGTTCAAAGGTATGGCGCCAGCTACCCCCCTCTGGTGGCAGTCATCAGGGACCACCTCGCTCATCATTGCCACTAGATGCCAACGAAAATTCGGAAGCGCAAGTCAGTGGGCTTGTTAAGGAATTCACCACATTCCATGGCTGTCTCAAAGAGCTGGGCGAGCTAATGAAACAATATGGCCAGCCGCTACGTGAGCGTTCATCTGTGTACTACATTTGCGGCATGCACTGACGCGAGATAACAACGCGCAGCATTCCCTGTCCAGGATTTCGAAGACACGCTGAAGAAGTGTGAAAAGACCCTGGAGCCATACGCTGAACATCTCGTCGATAAGAAGATGACCGTCAAGAAGTTCATCTTCACGATCAGATACATCGGGATGGAAAAGGAGATCGATGGGCTGAGGAAACAGATCAGCGGCCATTACCAAGCGCTGAACATGTGCATTTCCTTTCTGCAATTGTAAGCCTCTTTCGTACTCGAAACAACAGTCGCTGACCGTCGTTAGGCGGCTACATCTCGAGGCAACCAAGCAGACTCAGCGTCTTCTCGACGCTGCGCCGTCTCGTACAGTAAATCTAGGCGGCCGCGCTTACTCCACAAACACTCTTAGTGTTCCAAGCAACCGCGCACCACTGGCACTCGCGTCTTCCGACGAACACCCGTTGTTCAGCGAATGGAAAATCTTTGATCGATGGCTGCAAAGTGAGGACGAACGTGTTGCTCAAGAAGCGGGACTATCGCGGCCTCTTTCTCTGGGAGACACACCTGCTACGTTTTCTACTGGTGATGTTCAGACAGCTGCTGTACTATATCATCTGAGACGGCAGGTCGATGACGCGATTTTCATCGAGGAGAATCGCGCAAAGCGAGCTACGGCGGAGAAACGCTCACACTTGGTCCCAAGCGACGCGATGAAGCAGCAGGTCCGCAACATGCCACCAGCTCCATTGCGAACCTATACCCTCGAGACAGATCACTCCGGGAACTTCACCATGTTTGGCCAAGACAGCTTGAGTGACTCCACGGGCAGCAACCGCCCGACCTTGAGTCTACAGCCATCGTCTCAAGATTACTTTGGATCAGTCGATTGGTCGCAGTCGCCTAGACCGACATCGCTTGAGCCTAATAGGATACCTTTTAGTTCCACAGTTGCCTGTAGCGAAAGCTCTTCGCCCGCATCACCGTCGTCAACGGGTACTGCCTCAGAGAAGCCCTTATCTCCCACTTTGCGGCGCAGTCTCTCGCGCACATCCCTGGCAACCATGGCATTAGGAGACGCTGCACTCGACTGGAAGCGAATATGTCGCAACGTTCAGGTCGAACGAAAGTCTCTGAAGTACGGATCCGAAAATCACGAGTGCGAGGTTCGGTGGCGATATCGAGAAGATACTGGCATCTCGCTGCGAACAGTCTATCACTCTAGCCAAGACGGGAAGCTTCGAACATGGACTGAACAGCACTTTCCTGCTACCGGGCCAGCGATACCCTTGACTACCACGTATGTTGACGGTGCAGTGTCTGTCGATTTTCCGCGCAGCTCGTTCGGGAAACTCAACAAGCAGTATGTTGACATCAAGTACACGTTCATTGGCCACGAATCAGCAAACAGATTCCAGACCTTGTTGTACACCAACAACGGTGCCGACTCTGCTAATCTCGAATTTGATCGACCCATATCGAGCATATCCTCGGATCACAATCCGACTGAATGTCGTGGAAGAAATTTGCGGCTGTGGCGGCGTACCGAGACGCATCTAGCGGATGGTGGGCTCGTTACGTCTGAGGTCTTGATCCTGCTGTTTTACACGAGCGCATTGGAAGAGGATGGGCACTGGGTCGAGGAGCCGCACTACGCATTCGAATGGCTCACGGAGTCGGTCTATAAGAAAGACAGTGACAAGCTTACGCTTCTCTTCTCAAAAGACGCACCGCGTTGGGCGACTGATAAGCTTTTCAAACGCCGCAAGTCATCCACACAGACGGATTCCGAAGCAGCGAATCCGTCTCGCAAGAAACGCAACGACTCTATGGAAATGCTACGGTTTTCTCGATCAGACAGCGTTACTTCAGGGTCGTTGAGCGGCTCGCCGATTCCTTTGAAAAATATATCGGGTGGTGGTGGTTTCTCGAGGGCTGCTAATCTGAACCGGTTTGGGTATTCGGCGTTAGAGATCAAGTTCCAGAGCAGGAAGGACAGGATGGCGTTCTTAGACATCTGGAAACAGTACGTCAAGCCGCTGAGTGTGTCCTGAAGATTGCAATGGGCAGATAGAAAGTACAGGGCGCATTGTACTGTACCGTGGTTTTATGCACAGATATCCGGAAGTCCGACCTTCCAAGCAGACGGACTGTTGAAGATTAATATTTGGAACAAGAGGTGTGCGATGAGAAAGGCTCCAAAGTGAATGTAGTCGTCTTGTCAAGCACAGACAGGGCATACTGGTTGCTGTAAAGCATCACGAAATCTAATTGAGACGAACATCGCTTTGTAATGCTAGTAGCGACAATCACAAAGTTTACAAAACTGCCTCGTTATTGAAGAAGTGTGCACGGCTTCGATCGAAAACACCTGATTGCGGGCACCACGGATGCGCATGACACGTCGTCCGCACGGACTTTGCGCTTATCCAACTCGGGTGCTGCACATGTATTACGTATCGGTCTATGATGTACTCAGCGATGACACGTTGGGAAATGCAATGAGGCATTGTCCGCGGAATGAAACCTACATGGGATCGTAGCAGGACTTATAAGCGAGTCCGACTCATTGTTGAGGGCGAAGGGTTGGAAGGCGAGGGCCTGGATCCTGTGGGCGGCACATTTCATTTTACCCGCATCAAGTTGTTCTCGCATGTACGTATACGAGAAGGCGTTCCGATGAAAGATGTACCCCTCATATTTGAAGCAGTCATGATCTGATTGGGAGTTGGGGCGAGAGCTAGATAATTACAAAAAGCCACCTTTCATCACGCTTATCACAGCTTGGAACCATGACGGAAGCACCTCAGAGCTGGAAACAGCTTGTAGTAGAACTTTTGAATAATGAGAACCATGAACAGTAATGACGGAATGTTGCGCGATCAACAGTATGTAGACATCCATGTAGAAGTAAATCAAATACAGGTCTTGTTGGCAGCCATTTTGCCGAACTCATCCACATTCAGGACAGCACCTTCTGCATCGTATTCAATCCTGACCTGCTGGTTGCTCGAGACAGAGGGATCGCCTACAAGGTAGTTGAGCGGTTCGAACCTCATGGCCGAATGAGCAGAGCTGAACATAGTATTGGGCAAGTCGCCGGTGTGCGGAAGATGGTGCATGCCGAGGTTGAACCAAAGCACTCTGTGTTCTGTTAGTAGTTGATATATTACGGGGTGCAGTATCAACAATAGATGGAGAAAGGAGGTGGGTTTACGAACAAATCTTCTTGATCCAGACTCTCGTCGTCAAAGAAAGTCTCAAAATTGACAAGCGGATCGTCCTTGGAGAACTGGTTATTGGCATCCGCAGCTCTTGGCTCAGTGTCCTTTTGCTGTGTGACATAGAAGTCGTGAGTCACAAAGGCACCTGTCTTGCCAGTGTTTGTCGAGTTCGTTTGTGTAAGGTGGATGGTGCCGGCAGATCTTTTGATTCTGTAACCTGGGTACTCGCCATACGGGTTCGGTGTGTCCCTATTGACAATGGCGTACAACACGTTATCGTTCTCGGCCCAATTGATCATGGACTGGCTCTCGTCGGCTACCCAAGATCGCTCAGCCTTGAATGTATTGTATACGCGACCCTGGCTCCAAGGATACGCTGTCGAAGTCGGCACAAACTGTAGTTTTTGTACACTGTTCTTCCTGCCGTTGATGTCAAGGTCGACCTTGAAAGTGAGGGTGTGGTCGTGCGAGCTACCCGAAAGGAAGTCGTGTATATGGAAGCCGTACTCAGGCTGATCCTCCCAGTAAGCAGCGGCAATGTATCCAGAAAAGCGTGAAGAAACCTCGATACCGCCATCGTAGAAGAAGCTGTAGTCGATGAGGAAGTCGTAGTTGCCTACTGTGGCTACCGTGCGCATGACGAACTGGATGTTCTTTGCTACGCTAGTGTGTGGCGCGGATGGTGAAAAGGAATGGCGACGGATTGGGTAGCCCGCGTCGAATTCGAACAAACATATAGCGTCGGCTTGCGTCTTGACCGTGTCGCCTTCTGTCCATGTTGCAGGCAGGTATGTAGCATGACTAGGGCAGTCATAGCCTCTGACAAGAGGCTGCAAGGTCGATCCCATACCACTCGTGGTATCGAAGAAGGTCGCTTGTGATTGGAAAGGGTCGGAGCCGGAGTATGATGTCAGAGCCTCCTGCAAGGACAACTCGTAAATGATGCGTCTGCCTTTGTATTTGATGTCAAACAACGACAGGCCAAGGTCCTGAGAGACGGCATGATAGAGGGTGAAGTCCATCCAGGATATATATCCCTCTTCCGTATCGATCTTGAATCGCTGGTCGCCCTGGGCGACAGAAGCCGGCGGCGGTAGGTTGTCCAAAGGCATGGGCGTTCCCTGCCTGTCGGTAGACGTCCAGTTTCCCAGTACGTTTGGTGGTGGCGTCTCATAGTCGGGAGCGTTAATTGCGGCACGGAACTCTTCTGTGCTGGCATAAAATTTGCCATACGAGTACCAACCGACAGCTTTCCAGGTATCCGAGATTGGTCCGGTCAAGTCAAATTTCACAGCGAATCCGAGTGGCTCGACGGTAACACTGCTGAGATTGGTGCCAGGGTCCGCAAATGCTCCTGCCCAGGAGATGGTTCGGCCCTCTTCATCCCAGAACGGGCTTCCAAATCTAAGACCAATGCTACCAGTAAGAAAAGTCTGCATGCATGTAAGCCTTTGTTGTTGTATGTTGTGGCTGGCTTCCACTCACAGTGTTGAACAATTGCATTGAGATATCCTCAGTCTCTGTCGCGAACCTCGTAAAGAAACTCGTCGCGTCGCTGGGTGAATACATGGGATGCATTTGTGTTCGACCTGGTTGGGAGTTTTGGAACGGGAAAGTCAACGGTTCGACCGCAGTCGCATTGGTTGCTGGCAATGGTCCCACCATGTACTCTTGCCAGTGCTTGTCTGTCGAGTTGGTGGTACCGCTTTGAACAGTAGCTCGCGCATAGCGCTTTGGAGCCGTAGCATTGCTGTCAAGGAAGGGAAGAGTATCCGTCTTGTTGGGATGAAGAAGAGCGAGCTGTACTCTGATATCGCATTAGTGTCCGGCGAGTGAGAGGTGTCTAACAATGGTCGACTTACACGTAACTATCACGGCTAGATCCTTGGTTGCCAGTCAAGCTCATTCGCTCTTGGAGAAGTTCATTGACACTAGCAGCTTCCTCCTCGGAAAGGGTCTTCCACGGGTTTTCATGCGGTGCACTCACTGTGGGCTGGCGGTCGTTGATCGTGTTATCCTGCGCTGTGGAGAAGGTGACCAAGACGGCAGCACCAAGCGTTAAAGAAGAAGTCCACTTCATATTGAGCAGGACGAAATGGAACGAGCGTGCCGTTTCCGACGTGCAGACCTCTGCAGATTATATGCCCGTCTACTGGCCCATGCCTTTGTGGTAACACGGTAGGTCTAGGGGCGTTCGTGCTGTCATCGTGCGTGCGCATCCCCGTGGCTGGCTCGCGTCCTTAGCGACGAGAAGCTATGCCTCAGACATCGGTTTGTTGAGCAGCCTCAAAAAATAACATCACACTGTTGCTTTGCCGCACGCGGTAGGCAAGAAAGGAAGTGATCAGCGCCAGGGTCGCTTTCTGCATGTTGTGCAAGGGAGATTCAGCTCCACATCCGAACGTCACGGACGGAGGCGCCTCCTTTACATGATGCAGCTGCAGAAACGATTCTCGCGACAAGAAACACGAGTGGAGACGCAGAATCGGGAAAAAACATGTTGCTCGAGCGTAAAGGTGTGCCCGGAATGTGGTAGAAGTGTCGCGCACGACTGGTAGCTCAGGGGCGGAGCCTGCCTTCCGGAAGCTTGGTACGGTAAGGTACCCCGCAGAAACAATACCGGGCAGAAGTAATTAAGCAAACAAGCTTTTTCTGGCTACCTGTCGGTTCCAAGATTTGGTCGCCGATGCTACCTACCTAGATGCGTGATACATGCTTCTGGAATGCTGGAAATAGAACAGCCTGCGTTGCCTCACACCCCCGTTAGTGGACTGCAGTCTTCACGTGTCCTGCCCTTCGCCACGCTACACCGTTCCAAATCCAAACCTCTCGTCATCGCCTTCGGTTGTCTGGCCTCTGCTTCTCTCCTCCACTCTGCGTTTTGCGGTCCTGGTCCCACTTGCTCCTTCTCTCCGCAAGTCCTGGCTTGTCTTTCTTGACTCCTTGTATCTGGTGCTCCAGGACTTTCCCCATCACAACCAACATGTTCATAGCCGACTTCATGGCTATGAACATTTTGGAGCTCCGCTCTGGTGTCATGACCATGTATACCTTTGCGTCTGTTGCTAGAAATTCTTCCAAAACTAGGAGATCGGAATGAGCGGGGTTGCGAAGAGCAGCTTTGAAAGCGATCTGGTGGACTTTCCGGGCGGCTATATATTAGTTCGACATTATTCAATACGCCTATCTGGGCAACGTTGTGATGTTGCTGTTATTTCAAGCGTATATTCCCGGTCACGGTGCAATGGGAGCGAGAACATGCGCTTTCGTTTGTATAGATCCATTTCTCATATTCTCGTCACCTTTCATCAGTCCCAGCACGCGATAATCAAAATCACCAGTCCGTCGTCCGTGCGTTCGTTTGCGATTGCAAAAGGACGAATCAAACTTGAGCACAACGCCGAAGCAGAAGGCGTATTCCAGAAGCCAAAGCGATACGCAATACGAAATGTACAACGCTAAACGACCATGGTATATCTGAGCTTTTCTGCACAATCATAAACAAACAGTCCCAAGTCCACATACAATAATTTGCAAAGCAAAAACACGCTGTTCCTGACGCTGCCACAGCATGTGCATAGCTGAGCGAAGGAAGCACGGAGGAAATGGCTAAGAGACGTAAGACCAGCCAAGCGCATGTACACGATGACAAACAAGGCGCGAACGAGGAACACAACACAGGGTGTGCCGTGGGATCGATCGCAATATACCACCGCTGCAATTGCAACTGCTTTGTTTCCATGTGTTTCAATCTTACTTCTTCTTCTTGACAGAATCCTTGCGAGCGGTGGTACCAGCAGCCCATCTGAAGAACGGTGATGGGGCGGGCT